GAAACATCCCCCCCAATGTGAGCACGACTCCTGTGCGCAGCGTCCCCACACTCAGCGGCTCCTCCTTGGGGTACCCAAGTTCCACGCGTGTCTTATCGCGGTGAGCATTGGACTTCACAAGTAGAAACATAAAAGGGGGTGAATAAACAGGCAAACCGCCCGAGACACCCCAACAAGCTGGACGCGAGTCTTGGGGTGTTCCCCTCGCTGGCGGCCACCACTTGGGGTGCCCCAGCATCACGCCTGCTATATCGCGGTGAGTACTGGACCGCAGAGAGAGAGAGAGAAAGAGAGAGAGAGAGATTGATAGAGAGAGAGAGAGGGAGAGAGCAATAGAGAGAGAGAGAGAGGAAGAGAGAGGGAGAGCGAGAGAGAGAAGGAGGAAACAAAGACAAGAGAGAGAGAGGGGGAGAGCGAGAGAAAGAGAGGGAGAGAGCAACATTCAAGAGGGAGAGCAACATTCAAGAGAGAGAAGGAGAGAGAGAGAGAGGTAGGGAGCGCGAATGAGAGAGATAGAGCGAGAGAGAGAGAGACACACAGAGAGAAATAGAGAGAGAGAGAAAAAGAGAGAAAGTGATGGAGACAGTGAGAGAGAGAGAGAGAGAGAGAAAAAAGAGAGAGAGAGAGAGAGAGAGAGAGAGACACCCGCCGGACAAAAACAGGCAAACCGCCGGAAGCAGCCCCACAATCTAGACGCGCCCCTTGGCGTGTCCCCACTCGTGGCGGTTTCGCCTTCGGGTGCCCAGGCACAACGCCTCCTTTAGCGCGGTGAACCTTGGAGTTCCAAAAGGGAAGCCTGGGGAAGGGCTGAAACAGGCAAACCGCCAGAAACATTATTTTCACACTGCTTTGAAAACAGAGGGGGCATGCAAACAGGCAAGCCGCCAGAGACATCCCCACCATCTGGGCACGACTGCTGGAGTGCCCCCAACCCTGGCGCACCCCTTGGAAATTGCTGCAACAAAACGCATCTTCTGAGACATCGTCAGAATCTGCTCCGGATGCAGACGGTGTTGGGCATGCGAGCAGGCATACCTCAGGAGGAAAAGAAACACACAGACACAGTTAATCCTCGATTCCTTCGAAAATATGGGAAAATATGGGAAGTGGGGGGGAAGACAAAAACCCAGAAAATATAGGAAAATATGGGGAATCTTTTTATTTGTGTGTATTTATTTGTGTGTCCTGGGGCCCCTTCAATACCGCCCGAGGCATCCCCAGTGTCTGGGCGCGAGTCCCGGAGCGCCCCCACCCCTGTCGCCCTCTCCTCGGGGTGCCAAGGTGCTACGCCTGCTTGATCGCGGTGAGCAGTGGACCGCCAACGAGTGGGTCTGAGTTTGAGCATGGGAGGAGTATGACTGTACACCTTGGGCGATGCTTAAGAAAACTTACATTTTCGGCCAGAGTCTCGATTATTCTTAATGTTTCAATGTGAATCCTAAGATTTCAATCGAAATTCTGAGTTTTTATTCAAATTCTGAGACTATGAATTTCTTAACCCATGATTTCTTGAGCATTTCGCAGACTGTACATCACTTTCGCGTGCGATCGAGTCCGAGAACAGCTGGGCCTAGATACAGGTGAGCCTGAGTGTGCGTGGGTCTGAGCGTATCGGGTCTGAGTGCAAGTGGGTCTGAGTGTGAGTGGGCCTGATTGTGAACGAGCCTGAGTACCAGTGCGTCTGAGTGTGAGTGGGTCTGGGTGTGATTGGGTCCGGGAATGACAGAGCATGAGTGAGCCTGAGTGTGAGTGGGCCATTCTGGTTGAGGAAGAGGAGGAAGAGGAGGAGGAGGAGGAGGAGGAGGAGGAGGAGGAGGAGGAGGCGGTGAAGAGGACAAGGGCTTGTTAGTTGTCGCAGCCGTCGAAATAGCAATGGCATCCCAATCGTAGGAGATGGGGATCATAGTTTCAGATTCGATGCGGGGTGCCAGCCAGCTGCCCTGCGGTTGATTGGAAGTTCTTGCGTGCAGAAGTTGTGACGTGAATTTCTGCCGTGTCTTTGTGGCGACGACGCGGCGAACAATAACGATAATGATGTTGATGACGATGGGGATCGACGATGATGACGGCAATCTATTCCCTCACCCTCGTGCTGCTGCTGCTGCACCTCTTCCTCCGCCACCTCATCCACACATGCACATTATTACTGCTACTCTCTTGTCTCCCCGGACTCCGTCCGGGAGAGATCCAGACCTCTCAGCATTTTTGGTTGCACGCAGGATTTCACAATGTGATTATGTTTGCACAAAGGTCTTTCAAAAGAGCTCTTGAAGTTCTTGGAAGGAGCTTCCGAAGGAGCTTCTGGAGAGCTTCCGGGCCCGCGTATTGTGAAACGCCTAGAAAGGTCTTCCGGGACAAATTTCCGGTTCAAGCAACTCGCTGCGGGGATTTCTGTTGGAAACCAGAACGAGCTCCGGGGCTACCCAGCGGTGCCGGTTTCTAATTTGAAGCCCTTTTAGCTCTCTGCCAGCTATCTGGGAAATTCCAGGTCCGCCATGACACGCGTTCGCGGATTCAAAAAACAGCGCCATGGGAAGGGATGGGTGAGATGGGTAGGATGTCCGATCTGGCGCGAGTGCACCTAGCTTGTCTTCCCCCTCTCTGCTGTCTCCCACTTCTTCACCCTCCTCCCCCTCTCCCTCCTCCCTCTTCCCTCCGTCCCTGCCTCCTCCTCCTCCTGGCCTGTTTGACAAAGACTGTCCATGTGACAACGCCGATGCTCAAGCAGTGACGCAGCGTCCTGGCTCGCCTATAGCCCTACCAAACAAGTTTCGAAGAACCCTTTGTGGTTTCCAAGAAATGTTCTTAGAACATTTCTAGCTGGGAGCGTCTTGGCTTAACACATCGGGCTTATGTTCTAAGAACATTGTTCTTGTTCTTAGAACATTACTAGGTTCTAAGAACATTTCGGAAAGAGCGTGTTCTACCGCTGCTGGCGGAAAACCGGGGGGGGTCACTACCGGTTCGAACCCCTCCCCCCCCCCCCTCCGGAAAACCGGGGGGGGTCACTACCGGTTCGAACCCCTCCCCCCCCCCCAGTTCATCATGAAAAGGGAGGGGGGTCACTACCGGTTCGAACCCCCCCGCCCCCCCCCCCGGAATTCGAAAACCGAGGGGGGGTCACTACCGGTTCGACCCCCCCCCCACTCGAAAACTGAGGGGGGGTGCGGACAGTGGTGGGGACGGTGGTGGTGGAGACAGTGGTGAGGGGACAGCGGGGCAGTGGGACAGTGGGACAGTGGTGGGGACGGTAGTGGTGGGGACAATGGTGAGGACAATGGTGGGAGCAGTGGGGACAGTGGGACAGCGGTGGGGACGGTGGTGGTGGCGACAGTGGTGTGGGGGCACTGGGAATGTTGTGGAAACAGTAGGACAGTGGAGGGTACAGTGGTGGTGGGGACAGTGGTGAAGGCGGTGGCCAGGACGGCGGTGGGACAGTGGGACAGAGGTACAGTGGGGAAAGTTGTGGGGACAGTGGGGACAGTGGTGGGAACAGTGGGACAGCTCAGTGGGACAGCGGAGGAGTCAGTGGGACAGTGGGGACAGTGTGGATAGTCGGGCATTGGTTGGGGCCGCAGAGAAAGTTGGGAGAGTGGAACCGTGGTGGGAACAGTGGTGGGAACAGTGGTGGGAACAGTGGTGGGGACAGTGGGGACAGTGCGACAATGGTGGTGGCACTGGTGGGGAGGGGCGGTGGTGGAACCAGTGGGGACAGTGGTGGTGAGGACAGTGGTGCTGGGAACAACAGTGGGGGATGTGGTGAGGACGGTGGTAGGGACCGGGAGTCGTTTGTTTGCGGTGAGAGGGGCTCCGGTTTTCGACGGGGGGGGGGGGTCGAACCGGTAGTGACCCCCCCCCCGGTTTTCGAGCGGAGGGGGGGGGGGGGGGAGGAGAGGAGGGGTTAGGAGAGGGGGGGGGTTTTGCCGGGGGAGGGGGGGGGGGTCCAGCAGGGGGGGGGGGCGATTTTCGGAGGGGGGGGGGACCCCCGGGTTCAGAGGAAAAGGGCGGCAATTTTCCACAGTAAAGCGGCGGTGGATCACGCTCTCTTACATTTCGTGGTATGACTATAGGAACGCCGGGACGGTCGGTCCCTGCTCAAGATGCGAGATCTGGCTCCAATTCGTCCCCGAAAGAGTGTCCAGAGGCATCCTTGGGGGCCTCAAGGGTCGCCTTGGGTGAGTCTCCACGGCCGATGTGGCGAGGCTGCCCCTTGCGGAAGCGTCGATCTGAGACTGGGCGCCGGACTTCCTGGGAGTCTTTCGAAGTCCCACCTCCGCATGTAGCAATTCCGGATCGTAAAGGCTCCACTCAACACACATCTTCCATATTTGCCGATTCCGGGGATCGGTCTTTCTGCCCCGAGATGAGCGTGAGCGTCAGCGTGAAAAGCACGCTCGTGTACGCGAGCTTCGACGATGCAGCCTCGGCAGGTCTTCGCCCTTCTAGCTCGTGCTCTTCTCTCGCCGCTGCCGGTGCGAGCCCCCGAGAGAAGGCAGACGGCGCGGACGTTGGCCTGCCGCTCGCAAGCCTCGGCCCCTATCAGACCTTGAGCCAGCTTGGCACGTGGGCCGACGTCGACTCGGACTTCGACGAGGGTGAACCTCCGCCCTGCCTGCCCCCGGTGGAGCTCGGCGCTCTCCTCTTCCCCGGCGGGGCCCGCGAGCTCTCCAAGGCGGGCGAGACGCTGCCTGCCGCGCGGGAGGCCGCGCCGGCCCAGTTGCCCGAGAGCGCGCGCACGCCCCTGAGCAGCAGGGCCTCGGCGTTCAGCTCCCCCGCCGACGGCCCCGCCCGGCACGTGCCGCTCACCCCGGCCTGCCCGCTCAGCTCGAGGAGCGAAGCGGTGCGAGAGCACGAGTTCTCGGAGCTCCGCGCGGGCTTCTGGCATCGGCGCGCGGAGAACCCCCCGGCGCCCCTCCTTGGCGCCGCCCGTGGCGCGCTGCTCGCGCGCCAGGGGGGATCCCGCACCCATCCGAGCAGTCCGCTCGGGCTTCGGAGGAATCATGCTCATGCTCCTTGTTTGTTCCTCTGCCAGCAGCAGGGCTTCGGCGTTCGTGCCGCGCTCCTCGCAGGTGGCGCGCGCGCCCGCCTGGGCCGTGGAATCCGAGGGCGGCCCGGTGCTCGGCGCCCCGAGCCAGGCACTCGCCCAATCCCCCGCGGTGACCACGGCGATGCTGCGCAACCTCCCGTGCGACTTCACGCGCAGCGACCTGCTCGATATTCTGGACCGCGAGGGGTTCGCGGGGCTATCTGAAGGGCTGGGCCTGCTGCCGCTGGCCACACTGGGACAGGCTGGGCGGTGCCACTACCCACGCTTGGGGCCTGCCGCGCTGCGTCGTTGGCAGGGCTTTCGTGGGGGGGCACGTCTTGGGGCCTTGTGGGGGGCTTCTCCTGCAGCGCTCTGGAGGGTCCGGGTGCCCGCGCCCCCTTCGAGCGTGCCCACTGACCGCCCGCCTCGGCCAGCGGCCGCTCCGCATGGATCTCCACGCCGCCGCTGCGAAGGAGGAGGAGGAGGAGGAGGAGGAGGAGGAGGAGGAGGAGGAGGAGAGGAGGAGGAGGAGGAGGAGAGGAGGAGGAGGAGGAGGAGGAGGAGGAGGAGGAGGAGGAGGAGGAGGAGGAGAGGAGGAGGAGGAGGAGGAGGAGGAGGAGGAGGAGGAGGAGGAGGAGGAGGAGGAGGAGGAGGAGGAGGGAGGAGGAGGAGGAGGGGAGGAGGAGGAGGAGGAGGAGGAGGAGGAGAGGAGGAGGAGGAGGTAGGAGGAGGAGGAGGAGGAGGAGGAGGAGGAGGAGGAGGAGGAGGAGGAGGAGGAGGAGGAGGAGGAGGAGGAGGAGAGGAGGAGGAGGAGGAGGAGGAGGGGAGGAGGGAGGAGGAGGGGGAGGAGGAGGAGGAGGGGGAGGAGGAGGAGGAGGAGGAGGGGAGGAAAGCGGGCCCGCGGCCGCGCGCGGGCCGAGGGCTCCCCCCCCTGGGGCACCGCCGCGGGCCACGAGGCCCTGTTTGGGGCAGTCTCGGGGCTCCCCCCCCCTTCTCCTCCTCCTCCTCCTCCTCCTCCTCCCCTCCTCCTCCTCCTCCTCCTCCTCCTCTCCTCCTCCTCCTCCCTCCTCCCTCCTCCTCGGGGGCAGCCCTGCTGCGGTCTTGGGCCATCCTGCGGCCAGCAACTGCTGGGACGGGCAGCGGCGAGCAGAGCACGTGTACACGCAAGCGCTTTTGCTGTTCCATGTGGTCTGCTCCCTCGGAGGTGCTTCTGGGCCTTCCTTGGCAACGCTAGAGGCATCGGTACCATCTTCCGCCGTCTCGGGGGCTCGTGAGGCCCTTATATTGGTGCCTCTTGGGGTCATGCTCGAGGCATCTTGGACTCTCCCGACCGTCTGGTGGCATCCTTGTCCAAGAGGCTTACGCCATTCTGCCAGCCCGCGTGCGGCTTTCTCTTCCCGTATGTATGTGTGTGTGTGGGTTCGTGGGTTCGTGTGTGCCTTCGTTGCCGTCTCTCGCCGTTCTGCTTGCGTGTAGTCGTCGCTGAGCCAGCCTCCTCTTCCTCCGCGTGCGGCTTTCTCTTCCCGCATGTGTGTGTGTGTGTGTGTGTCTGTGTGTGTGTGTGTGTGTGTGTGTGTGTGTGTGTGGGATTCGTGGGCTCGCGTGTGCCTTCGTTGGCGCCCCCCGCCGTTCTGCCTGCGTGCCGTCGTCGCCGAGTCGGCCTCCGCGTCCGCCGCGGCCGTGGCGGGGGCTTCTCTGCGGGGCCTCTCTGAGGCCCGGGCGCGGTGCCCCCCCGTGGCTCCCGGGGCGCCTCCAGGCCCTCTCGGGTGCCTCTTGGGCCCCCCCTTGGGCCCTCGCGAAAGACACGACGAAGAGTCAGCAAATAACCAACAAATTCGGATGCAACTCCTGGGAGGTCAAATTCTGATTTTGCCCTGGTCCGAAGTCCGGCTTAATCCGGTTTAATCTGGCTTAATGCCGCTCAATCCGGCTTAATCCCGCTTAATTCCGCTTAATCCGGCTAAATCCTGCTTAGTCCGAGGCCCACTCCGGCGCAACAGCTCCCAAATGGGGCTTAATCCTCCTTAATCTTTCCGACGAAAACCTCCCAGTAGTTGCCTCCTAACCTTGGGCCCTCGCGAAAGACACGACGAAGAGTCAACAAATAACCAACACAGAAGCAAACATAGTCAAACATAGTCAACAAGAGTCGAACCATACTGGGGGAATCTTCAGAAGCAGTCGCGAAATACGGGGGGGAATCATCAAGCATAGTCGCGAAATGCACGACACATAGTCACGAACTACAGGGGGAATATCAAACACTAGTCAACAAATAGCCTGGGGACTATTTTTGGAGTATTTTGGGGCATGTTTTGCTCATGTTTTGAGTACTTTCTATTTTTCGTCCAAGATCCCCCTGTAGGGGGACAGGCCCGGCTTAAGCATAGCGGTCAACCATAATCGGAAATTAGAACATCTACATTACGGGTGGCGGGCTGTTTTCCAATCCCACGACTTTGCGATGGTCTGGACGACGTCGGGGTGGTCTGGTGTATATTTGTTTGTCCGTTTCCAATGGAAACAACGAAACATGTGTACACCAGGACCCTGTATACACCAGGATCCGTGCTCCTGTTTGCAAGTTGCAGCGCAGGGCCGGAAACGCGTCGGTGTATAGAGTTCGGTTCCCTGCATAGTTCACAGCCTTGCGCCACCAAGAGGGCTGATGGATACGATTTCGTATACGTTCCGATCGACTTCAAGAGAAAGTTGTGCAAGGGCTATTCTTTTGTTAACATGGTTGCCGCGGAGCATCTTCAGCGGTTGGTCAAGGTCTTCAACGGCTACAACGGGTGGTCGGGCTCCTCCACGAAGGTTTGCCAGGCGAGCATGTCGCACACGCAGGGTTTGACGGCGAACATCGAGCGCTATCGGAATAGCCCTGTGCTGTGTGATGCAGTCCCCGACATCTTCAAGCCAGCACTCTTCATGGGCAAGCGGCAGGTCCCATTCCCTGAGCCCACTAGGAAGTTTTCGCAGGTGATCCAGCATTTTTGAATCCCAGTAGATGCAGCGTACATGCAGCGATTTGGCGTGGGTGCATTTCCCTGCTGATCCTAGATGCTGCCATAGCTGTCGAAGCGATCGGGCCATCTATCAGGGCTCAATGGCTCTCTCAGGCCTAATTCGACTCAAACGATCCGATACGATGGGGGCGACCCGACCCGCGCTGGACGCCCCGATGCGATACGACCAGAACGACCCGATATACAGGGTCCGGCTTGAATACGGAACATTTATGTTTCAAAAGGGGTTCGGTCGTTCCTTTTGGTATGCATGCGTTCCGCTACCTTTTTGGCGGCGGGCCCCCTCTGTCGTTCCTTCGGACTTCGTAGACTTACTCGGAAGAAGGAACTTTGTTCCTTAGTTGTCGTTCCTTAGGGTTGCATCCTGTTGGGCAGCATGGCTGCAGGCCTCTGCGCGCTGCCGCCCTTCTTCCTCCAAGCTCGGGGTAGCGGTCCAGGGGCCCGCGTCTGTCGGGGTCCCCCAAGCGGGGTGGTGGCCCACCGTGCGGTGAGTCGGTGGAGGTTCGGGGTCACCGCACGGGTTCGGGACTCGGGCCGTTCTCCGAGGGAGTCTCGGGCGACAGGGGCCTCCAGGGTCCCAAGACCGTGCGGTGACGGACAGTAAGGTGAGGTCTTGGGGGGATTTCGAGGTCATCGCGCGGTCTGTCACGGCACCGCTTCAGGACGCCAAAGTCAGGTGTTGTTTCATGGTTGATGTTGTTCACCCCATCCTCCAGGTGGTTGGCTTGCAGCTTGCTGGCCTAGTGATCTCTTGCCATGGTCGTGGAGGCTGCTTCTTCGGTCAGTGGGCTTCGCGCAAACGCATTCCTGCCTGGAC